ACCACCAGGGTGGGCCCTCTATCACCTCTAAATGGTGAGTTCCTTGTCCTATAAAGAGGAGCTATCACTCCTTTGCTTTTAAAGTTTTACTTACTGATCAAATGTGTTAATTCTGAAGTAATTTATGTTAAGTCTGGTAGAAGTTGAACTTCATGTAGCATATACAGTGTTGTAAATCATCATTAGGGCAATAGAAATAATTAAAAAAAACACATAAACTCCCAAAATGCATAAAATATAGTAATTAAAATTTAAAATTGTGGCCTCAGAATTAAACTGCTTGTATGCAAACCTTCTTCTTCTTCTTCTTTTTTACTTTATACTTATTTTCTGAGCACCTACTATGCTTTAATCACAATTGTAGATGCTGGGGATGTCACAGAAAATAAAGGATACAAAAGGTCCTAGAGACAGATAAAATAAATGATCAAAACATACTACATTAAATGGAAAAATGTATTTGGGTAAGTGCAAAGTAGAAAGGGAAAATAGAGAGGATTAGGGGGTGAAGTTTTAAAAAAGGGTGGTTAGGGAAGCCCTCATGGAGGAGGTGACTATTGAATAGAGACCTCAAGGATTGGATAGAGCAATCACAGTATTATGGTAAATACCCTGGGGAAGAACGTTTCAGGAAGAGGAAACAGCAGGTGTAAAGCCCCTGAGGCAGATGGGTGCCTAGAGCATTTGAATAACAGCACATAACACATAGAATTCAGTGTGGTTGGAACAGAAGTGGAGTGAGTAAAAGATGGTGAGGTGAGAGAGGAAACCATTGTCATTAGAGAGTTTTGAGTACAAGGTAACATGATTGGACTGCTTAAGAAGGGTGTTTTGGCTCTTATGTTTATAATAGGCTGTAGTAAGGATAAAAAGGTAGCAGGGTAGACCTAGAGCAGTTAGGAGCCTGATGAAGCAATAAACTACCTTTTGGGTGTGCCCGAGTAGAAAAAGCAGAGATAGGAAGAACTAATGTGATCTATGTGTATTTTGGAGATAGAACTTGAAGTCTTCATGTAAGGGATATACTCAGAGAGAGAAATAGATAAATACTGCTTCATATTAAGCAAAATTGATGATCACCAGGAGGCTGAAGAGTAGAGGAAGTAGGGATAAGTTGGCAAAGCTTAAAAAAAAAACAAACAGTTAAAGCAGGCCCTCCCTGGTGCTACAACGGGTTAGGACGAAGCACTGCAAGCTGAACACAGCTGCTTCAGTGTGAATTCGATTCCCGGCCCCAGACGTGACCCACATGGTGCAGTAGACCTCTCCTGACCCTCCTGCTGTTCCCTTCAGCAGTGTACTTCTTCAGTTGGCCTGTTCTGCTCCCCACTCTGTCTCTGGTGAAGCCTCTCACCATCCCTGCACCGCTGGCTTATACCCCAGTTCTGTGTGCATAAATAAATAAATCTTAAAAACAAACAAACAAAAAGGCGTTAAAGTCAATAAGATTTGCTGACTGATAGATATAGGAGTAACAGAAAGGGGAGTAATGGGTAGTTTCAAAGTTTTTGACCTGAGTTACATGGAAAGGAGTGAGTTTCTACCAATCGAAATTGGGAAGACCATGTAATGAAATGTATGCAAGATGGGTAAGAAGTTCAGCTTTTCACATGTTAAGGTAGAAATTCCTGTAAGATGTGTGTACAATGACTAAGCTGTTAGAGGATTCTGAAGGTTCAAGGCAGTTTTATAATGGGAGATTCAGTGTAGAGTATAGAGAGATAGGTGCTAGCAACTTATCTTTTGGATATTGTGTCTTTCTTCTTGAGTTTTGTTGGCCATAGGGGACTGTTCTACATCTCCAAAGTTAAGATTTATATATGTTTTGGCTTACTTTCCAAATACTCACTTCTCTGTAGTTGTAAAGTCACTCTCTTGCGCTGTGTGCCTGTAGGCTTGAAGCACCCCAAACTATTCCTAGTTTTTACAGATTTTGAGTTGTGGCTCTCCCTCAGTGTGACTCAATGTATTTTATTTCTGGGATTCCTTAACATTTCTTGTCCTTCATATCTTTTTTAATTCCTTTATAACTTTAAAAATTACTGTTTTTATAATTTCCAAGGATTTCTGGCAGAAACGGTGATACAGGTAAGTGTGCTTAATATGTAGTTTTCATCTAGTCTGACTGTTTATAATGAAACAAATATTATGTAAAAACAAATTTATAAATTTAAATGAGCAATTTATAGTGAGAAAAATAACATTACTCATTGTCGTATAGTAAGTATTTTGGAATAATTCTTCCACTTTTCTAAAAACTATTAAACTTTTCATTCCTTCCTTCCCTCATTAATCTGTCTTACATAGTGAACATTTTCTCACATAACTATAAACTGTATAATTGTGATTTTAATTCCCAAGATAATTTTCTGGGGCCTGGTCTTTAGGCCTAGAAACTGGCTTTGTACAGTCATGACAAATGTCACTGTCAAACCATAGTTTACTTCTTTGGCATGACTAGAAGGCTGACTGAATAGGGAACTGTTATCCTTCCTCTGAGTAAGTCCCTGTTATATAGGACAGATAAAGTCATCTCCCAAGGATTAGAGCCAGTATATTACTTTTTTCAAGTTATTTTATTGTCACTTTACAAACTAACCTCCTTTTCTCTCACAGTTCACCTAGCAGCCATGGAGGGCCACCTTCACTGTTTTAAATTCCTACTCAGTAGAATGAGTTGTTCAACAGAAGCTTTAAAAGCCTTCAATGATAATGGAGAAAATGTGTTGGACTTGGCCCAGAGGTTCTTTAAACAGAACATTTTACAATTTATCCAGGGGGCTGAACTTGAAGAAAGTGATCCAGAATATAAGGAAAGTAAGTTATCACTCTGATATGCTTTAACATGAAAAAGTAGAATAAGTGGAAAAGTAAATGAAAGAAGTTAAAGGACACATGTTTGTATGTCTATGTATTGATCCATATTTTCTTCTTTATTATGAAATATTTTAGGGAGAAGTATATAGAGAATAATATAATAACACTGGTTATGCCACTGGCTTTAAGAAGTATTATAGATAGAGTTGAGACTCCTTAGATTTCTTCCCTAATATCATTCATTCCGTTTCTTCCTCAGGTAACCATTATTTTAGGCTTCATTTCATTTTTTGAAATTTATTTTGAAAATTTTTGAAATACTGCAAAAATATGCAGTATTGTTTTTTAGAGTCTTTGAGTAAGAGAGTAAACTGTTTTATAATTAGGAAATTCTGAAATTCAGTGATCTAAATTATGTAGAAGTTTATTTTTTTACATGGTAGCCTGGGTTCGAGCATGAATCTTTTCCAAGCAAGCATCTGGACCTGTTATCTTTCCAGCTTTCTCCAGTGGGTGCTAATCCAGTAGGAGGTGTGTGTGGGCAGAGATTGCCAAGGTGGAATTTGCTCTTAACAGTTAGTCAGTGTTCCACTGGCATGTGTGTAGTCACACTGTCATATGTGCTTTCAAGAATCTCGGAAAAGTCAGTACCTAGCTGAAGCCTCAACCTAGCTGCAGCTCTATTACCACTGAAATTAGTGAATAACAGTCTTTGAAATTGTCTTTTAAAGCTTTATAGAAATGGTAGCAGTATATATCCTTTATGATTTGCATTGTTCACAGAATGATTTTTGAGATTTATTAGTTGACAAATACATTCTACTTGGTTCTTTTTAAATGTTCGTGTAGTATTAAATTTATAAAAACCATTATTTACCCATTCTCCAATTTAATATTTACATTGTTTATAATTTTCATTATTATAACCATTGTGATAATGAATGTTCTTGCACATATCTTGTTAGGTACACTTAGATCACTAATTTCAGAATTTCCTATTTATAGAAGAGTTTATTCTCTTACTCAAAGATTCTATAAGTTTCTTTCTAGAAGTCTTTCCCTACTTTTCACTTAGCCCATATAGAAAATGTTTGTGTGGAACATGTGGATGGCTGAATGAGACTTGCTTACGTACTGACTGTCTTCTGAAGTAGTATTAAGGGCTCTGCTTTGGTAAATAGTTGGAAAGCCTGCTTTGGGTTTTGCTTTGTGGGGTACGCCCATTTCCAATATTAATGGGCATTGCTACCCTCTTTATCAAAGTGATTGTAGAAGTTTAAATTCTCACAGTAGTGTTTGTTGAAAATTTATATAAATAATTTTCAGTATTATCAGACTTTTTCCTCTGGTAATTTTTTGCTAATTGGTTGGGAATGAAAGCTTTATGTTTTGTTTTGCATTTTCTTGATTGCTAATAAGGTTTAACATCCTTTTGCAAAGTTACTGTAGTTTCCTCTTCTAATGAATTGGCTACCTATACTTTCTCCTCTTTTAAAAATTATCTTTTTTTTTTCCCCACTAGATGAGTTCTTTATATAGTTTTGGTACTAACTCCTAGTTAATTTTTTTTATAACAGTTTATTTTACTCTTAGTTAATTTTATCTGCTATAACTTTTCGTATACTGGAATTGTTTGTTCACTTTGACTATGACATCCTTCTCCTCATCCCAGGAAGCCAACTTTATTATAAAGTATAGTTTAGATACTATAAATTATATTCATTTAAAATGTGCAATTTGATGTGTTATGCCATGTGTATATACTCATAAGTCATCCATCACAGTCAAGATGCAAGTCATTTTATTACTCAAGATTTTTCCATAACATCTTTTGCAGTTCATCTCTTCCTTCACCATACAAAATTACTGATATACTTCCTGCTATGACATATTAGTTTGAATTTTCTAATAGAATTAGAAACACTTGCTAGAATCAGTTTCATTTTAGCCATTTTAATATATATAGTGTGTTTTATTGTGGTTTTTTCTTTTTTCAAGTATCTGTTCAATTATTGAACAATTTTAATAGCTCTTTGCTTTGTCAATATGTGTATCGCACATATTCCATTAAAGCTTACCTTTTTGTTTTCTTAGTGTCTTTTAATAGTGAAAGTTTTAAATTTTGATAAAGTGTAAATTATTTTACAAGGCAGTTTTTGTGACTTATTTTTTAAATATTTGCCATCAAAGCCAGCAAGATATTCACTCTTCCATATTTTACAGAAATTTTATGGTTTTTAGGTTCTTAGTTCAAATCTTTGATCTACATCAAGTTATATTTTATGTATGGAATGAAATTACATGTTGATTTAACTTATTTTTGTTTCTTTATTACATATAACCAGTTGTCTAGCACCGTTTTTTGGATAGCTTTCTCATTACCCACTGAAATATGTTGGCAACCTTGTCAAAAATTAGTTGCCTGTATGCATATAAATGCATTTTGACTTTTGCATTCTTATTAATGTGTATGTCTGTTTGTCATTATACAGTGTCTTCTTGATTGCTGTAGCCTATTAATAAGACTTAGAATCAGTTAGTGTAAGTCAGCAACTTCGTTCTTTTTAAAATACTATTTCCCTATTCTAGGATATCGCCATATGTAAAGGTAAGAATAACTGTAGCTCAACACTGTGAAAAAGGTAAAGGAGGTAACGTAAGTGTTAACAATCAAGCCTAGCATTCAGTAAAGCCTCAATATGTATGGTCATTATTTTCAAAATATTTTGTCAAGTATCTGTTATGTGCTAGGTCAGGTACACTCACACCTGTATACACAGATACATAATTTCTTATCTGCTTTCAGTTAGCTTTCTTCACTTCCTTGCAAAAAGAGAAGAAGTGGCCAGGGATTTGAAACCAAGAATATGGTAAAACATCCACAAAGAAAAAAGGGAATACAGCAGAGAATCATAAAATGGGATTATCATTAACTGTGCAGTCCTTGTACATTTGATGTTATAAGAGGTAGAAGGGCTGCACAGTTAATGATAATCCCATTTTATGATTCTCTTTTCATTGTTATTTTATCAAAGAAACTAATTCTAACATAACAGTTTCATATTTGAGATAATATTGAACCTGAAATGTGTGATTGCTTAAGGCAGGAAGAAAGAAAGAACTTATTTGTTTACTGAAAGGCTGATTTTTTTTTATCCATAGCTTTAGCATTTCCAGGTCATGTGGCTGCCTTTAAAGGTGATTTGGAAATGCTTAAAAAATTAGTAGAAGATGGAGTAATCAATATTAATGAACGTGATAGTAATGGATCCACTCCAATGCATAAAGGTGAGTTATGGCTCTTGCTTCCTTTTGTTGTGTCCTTACACATTGCTGCTCATTTATTTTCTGTTTAAAATAATTATCAAAAATACCTAAAAATGGGCCCTCCCTGGTGGCGCAGCAGGTTAAAGCACTGCACTGAGAAGCTAAAGCCATCTCCGCATGAGTTCGATTCCCGCCTGCCCTGGAGGTGACCACATGGCGTGGCAAACCTCTGCTGACCCGCCCGCTGCTCCCCTCAGCAGTGTACTTCGTCTGATCTGCCTGTTCTGCTCCCACTCTGTCTCTGGTGAAGCCTCTCACCGCCCCTGAGTATCTGGCCTGTACCCTCTTTGTGATTGTACAAAAATCTTTAAAAAAAAAAAAAAACCTAAAAATGTTTAAATTTTTCCTGTAAGTCTATCTTATATAGCATACATAGTGCTTAAGTTTTAATTAACTGTGATAATCTTTTTCTGATGTCAAATACCCACATATTATTATTTTGAGGGTAATCCCAATAGAAATTTTCTTGTGACATTGTCACATTAGTTAAGATGTGAAGTTTATTAATTGAAAAGTTCTTAGTTCTAACATTCTTTTATCAAAAAATGACCTGCTTATACTAAGATTGAAACACCTAAAAGGTGGAGCAGAATTTTCTTCTTTAGACCTATATGCTACAAAAATGTTTTTACTTCCATAGAAGTATCATTGGATAGTCGTTTTGAACACATTTTCCAGATGTCTGTCATCTTTTTCTCCTTACCTTTATATAGAATTCTAAAATATTAATTGCTTTTTTGTTCATTTTAAAATCAGACTTTGTCAAATTGTCAACTCAGTTCTGGGACAATATACATTAAGACTTATTCTTGCCAATCTTTTATTGAGAAAATAAAAATCCAAATCTTTAAGCTACTGCATCTGAAATTTCCATTTTGACTCATTTGTAATGTTAAGTTAAAAGTTTCTTCATGGTGGGCCCTCCCTGGTGGTGCAACAGGTTAAAGCACAGCACTGAGAAGCTAAAGCCACTTCCACATGAGTTTGATCCCCTCTGGTCCCAGAGGTGACCACATGGCTTGGCAGACCTCTCCTGACCCGCCGGCTGCTCCCCTCATAGTGTACTTCCTCGGTAGTCCTGTTCTGCTCCCCACTCTATGTCTGGTGAAGCCTCCCACTGCCCCTGCACCTCTGACCTGTACCCCAGATCTGTGTGAATAAATAAATCTTAAAAAAAAAAAAAGTTTCTTCATGGTATCATACCTGGTATGATACCAGGTAATTTTTGTAAAAGTAAAAATACAGGAGACTTGTTAATATAGTCATGAGTGGAACTGGACTTTATTTCATAAAAAAGTCTTTCAGTTTTTTCTTTTTTTTCAAGATTTATTTTATTTGTGCATACAGAACTTTCAGTTTTAATCACTTTTTGTTAGGTTTTCAGCTTAGTCATTAGAGTTTGCTTAGTTCATAATGTACCTCAAGTACTCAGGTATAGAATGTAAGCACCTGTCTGCCACAGTTTTACAAGAAAGAAGGTAAACGAATGGAGTGGGAGTGAGAGGAGTACAGAGGGGATTCCTTCTGTACATAGAAAGATCTCCAAAGTGGTAAATTCTGTACTCTAGACTTAGAAAATCTTGCTCCATCTATCTCGCAAGCTGTCTAGGGATTAAACTCTTCACCATGGATTTTGTGGATGGAGGGGAGTCTTGAAATGTCAAAAATACAGATTCAAAATATGGCGTCCTGCAGCAAAGTCCCCATTTTATTATATATTTCTGTATATGTATTTCTACATGAGATATTGTTTAGACAAATAATAAAAGATAGGCTCTTCAGGACTCAACTGTTGAGTTTGACAAGTGGTTAAGTCAAGTTGTGAAATAGAGGCAGGATAAGAGTTCTTAGAGACTTTACATAGGCTAGCTGGCAAGCTATAGTGATGATGGTGTTGCTTCATCAGTGGATCTGCTTTGTTTTCTCATTTCTGTTGCCAGAACTGAAAGTAGATTCACTTTTTAAGGCCCCAAAGACATACAAAAGTTCCTGTTCTTTCCTTCATTTTACAGAGGAAATATGTATATATTTAGCCTTAATTGTGTGCTCACACTATGGAGACAGTATAAGATCTAGACTTTACTGTTGAGGAGCTACATACTTTTTACATACTCCACAAGCAAGAATATAATTTTTTTTTAAGATTTATTTATTTGTGCATACAGAACTGGGGTACAGGACAGAGGCTCAGGGGCGGTGAGAGGCTTCACCATAGACAGAGTGGGGAACAGAACAGGCAGATCGACGAAGTACAATGCTGAGGGGAGCAGCCGGCGGGTCAGGAGAGGTCTGCCACACCATGTGGTCACCTCCGGGGCAGGCGGGAATTGGACTCATGCGGAAGCGGCTTTAGATTTTCAGTGCTGTGCTTTAACCCGCTGCGCCACCAGGGAGGGACCGCAAGAATATAATTTTATGAGTCAGGATATAATTAATGGCAATAAGTATTTGAGTGTTATACTGCTTGCAACAGGAATTCTACAGTAGCAATTGAAGGACAGAAATTGCGAAGGGATAAATTACTGAGGAAATGTATATGGGAATTTAGTGATAATGCCTTATGCCTATATGACATTTAACAGGTTATATAACTAATCACATTTAATCTTTAATTTTATGAAGCAACAGTGTACTCTCCTTATAAAAGTGAAATCTTCTCTAAAAGGTAAGGAAATGCGGTTCAGAGTGATCTGATTTTTTGACCAAGTTTACATCATCAAGACATATATTGTTCTGTCGTTTGTTGTGCAGTTTCAATAATAAGCAAATCTAAACTCAGATCTTGTAAATCTGCTTTTTTGTACCAAAGTTTTCCTGGGTCTTGAGTTGGACTTAGTATGGACTAATTCACTCAACTGACATTTGACATTTGAAGTTAGATGAACACATGGTTGAATGGTAAGCACTATCTGAGAAGACAGAGTTGAGGAGGTGAACATTTATATTGAACATGTATGTTCTGAGGACATTTGTTCGGAGGGTGGTAAATAGCTTAGGAGGGTGTAGCTCGAGTAAATTTTGAGTTGTGAGGATCAGAGAAAGAAGCTATTTATGTAAGAATTCAATACTCTAGGTCAATGTAGGTTCCTCTGACTGGATTGTGTTCACATTCTGGTCTGACATAAGACTGGTCATGAAATATAGATAGCAATGGATGGACACAGTCTAAGGCTTAGAAATTCCTATGTTCTAGTTTCAAATCTATTACCTTCTATTTGTGTAAGTGAAGTAAATAACCTTTCTGACCTATACTTTTTATATATTTATGTTCCCTATATAGTACTGTGACCAAATGATCACATTTGATTGGATATTTATCTTATAAATGAATAAGTGACAGAGGAAATAATATCTGCCCAATTTTTGAATGCTATTGCAAGGATGAGTATTTATGAACCTGCTCTTTGATAGTACTTTAAGAATTTTAGAAAATTGTTACTACTACTAATTATTTTTTGCATATTTTCTGTTTTGTTGTTTTTATAGCTGCTGGACAAGGCCACATAGAGTG